AAACCAAATTCGATTTTTTGGAAAATCGATTTTGCGTAAAAATTCCCGTTTTTCCTTAATTTTTATGTTGTTTTTCCCGGCGCTTGTGAAAACTACTGGAAAATGTTTACTTTTGACCCCCCAAAGTACCAACTAGATTCACTTTCCTATCAGAAAAGGTACTATTGAAGAAAATCGAAGCACTTTTACTGTCCTAAAACGTGATGACAGACACAAAAATATAAAAATATAAAAATATAAAAATATAAATAAAAATATAAAAACATACATCATTGTAAAACCAATACATTCATCGCTCCGCTCAGAATCTAAAAAGTAATTTTTCTATTAATTGAGTTATTGGAATCAAATTACTTGTAGTTTAATACTCATTTTTAATATGGGGAAATTTTTTTTTAAATTATGCACTGATTCAAAATCTGAAAAACAAATCGTTCAACTTTTGAATAAGCTATACATCAACATTTTCCAAAAAAGTAAAAATGGAAGTTCTCATTTGATAAATAGAAGTTTGTATTTTCATTCCTCTTAAGTAATACAAAAAATACCAAGAATTTGAAATTGGGGTCTTTAAAAATATTTAAAAATCACAAAAATCACAAAAATCATTGTTTGAATAAATGCATGATTAAACTAAAAAATAGGGGGAGGGATCAAGCTTGGTGAATCTCTGTATTCATACAATGGCGTGAACAAGCATGACCACAAATTCAAATATTGGCCATACTCGCCAACACAACTCGTTCAATGAAGAAAAATTAATCCATATCACAGGATTAATCCATAGTTTTTAGTTTTAATTTGTTAAAACGGAAAATGCTTTACCAATGTTGCCATTTGCAAACAATATTATTCACCAAACGATGTATTTATAACCACGTTGAAAGGAACAATCTTATTCGTGTATAAATTATGCTTCCAATTTAGTTTATTCGTTTGATGGTATCGGAATTCAATTCGTTTGATGCTGTATATAGCTGTTATACTTAATAAATCGCCATTGCTACAATTTGCAATTCAGTGTATTAAGTGATTTGTTATTTGATGTATTTTACTCGTTATTATTTCCTCCGTCGGATGTGTTTTTTTTTCTCTATATTTGTAACGTATTTATATTTGTCTTATTCCTCCGTTTATATATTCAAAGAGAAACTATCGAAATTTATGAAATTGATATAATAAATATTGTAATTGATTCCTTTGATTAAAAAAAATAATAGTAATAATTCCTTTGATTCGATTTCAGTGTTCTTCTACACACAAATATAATTGATTCTGTATTATTTATTTAAAAATCTGTTTTCCGAAACGTGACTTTTTCCAAAAATATAAGTAGGCCAATAGTGGTTACTTTTTGTATTCAAAATGTATATCTAGTAATATTCACAAAGACTGCTAAGACTGTTTGAATTTCAAATTTGTATTAAAAGCTAATATTTAAATCGGTTCAACTTGATATTATTTTTCAATAATACTGTGATTTTTAAAAAAAATTCTATAAAAAAAAAGTGCAAATGGACAAAGATGTTGTTGTATTTCACTAATGTTTTATTACAATACCTTGTTCAATGTGAGACCTCTATCGTATTTAGGGTAAGATACCATACAGTTACAATTAATAATCTCACATAAATCGAGGAGGCGGAAACTGAAACTTTCGAATTTTTCAATTTGTACGTCACGGCTATCTAAACATTTCTATTTCCGATAGAGTAACTTAAGCCATGGATACAAAACGTGTAGGTGACCTTCTAGTGTAGTGCCTCAGGTTCGTGATACTTTTATATTGGGACGTAATTATCAAAACACAGGACCTAATTATATTACAATATTTAAACAAAAATTACAGTAATTATTAATACCAAATTCATTTCTAAATACCTCATGAAAAGTTGTTTATTAAAATAAAAATTCATTGAAATATGGGAAAATATTAGCAAATTATTCCTGCCTATAAAACTTTACGGAAATAACCTGTTGTGTACTGTTTGACGCTTAAAATTCATACTTAACTTCCTTTGATTTTTTTTTATCGAACTAATTGACGCCAATGAGTACCTACAGTAAACGTATCAATACAATGATTACTTAAAGGTACAATTGATAATTTAAAAGAACAATTGCGTTCTTAATATTCGGTAATTTTGAACTCGCTTCAAGTAATCCCTACAACTGTAAACCTACAAGCTGTAATTAATTAACAAGGGAGGGGATTGTAATTAAGTGGCCAATCCATTTTAATCCACTTAGGACCGGTAATCTGTTCCCTAATATCTATTACTATTTTTTCTTCTTCTAAACATCCCTGAACATCCTCTAGGTAATCGATAATGTAATGTACAAATATAATGTATTAACATTGTAGCAATTATTAAATTTTTTTTAATTTGTGGAAATAGTTAATTTAATAGTTAATTCAATTTTATTAATACGTTTAGCCTTTACTTTTAATTTTTCTAAGATTGTTCAGTATTTACAGTTTCTAAAATATATTGTACTCTATTATTCAGAATTTCAGAATAAAATAATGCTTAGCATTAAAATCTGAAGGCAACAAATTACTATATATTGAATCACGATAGTTGTCACATTTTATTATGATGAAATATCAACAAGTCGATATTTTCATACAATTTCACTGTTTTTTGTAAATCAGTAACAATCAGATAACAATTTTTTGCATAGTAAAATATAATTGTTAATTTTTAGTTTAACCAGGTGGAATCAAAGGAAAACATATGAGTAAAATAGTAATTATAAAAACATTTAATAATCATGTATATATAGGTACTTTTGTATTTAAAAAAAGCACTAAAAAAAAAATTCAAAAAATTTAGTAAAATGTATTTAAATTTTCTTTAATAGCCAATAACTATCTGACTTATCACTATAACTGATGACTTGTAACCTTTGTGACGTTGTCTATAATGTTGTATATATTTAACAAAAATCTATATTCCATGATATATCCACACAGCATTTGGGAAATAATAATATTTTGTGAATATTTTGGAGAGCTTGAATAATGATTATTTGACTAATAATATTGTATAAATATTTTATTCTCATGATAATAAAATATTGGACTATATGGATGCACAAAAATGTTAACTTAATATTTTTATAATGTTTCCATGAAAATGTTTTTTGAAAAAATATGATTAAAATGTTTTGTTAATATTTTTTACAAAATATTTTTTGAAATGTGAACTTCTTGGCCAAAAAATATAAATAAAATATTTTCCTTATTATTTAGGCAACTTTTTCAAATATTTTTACAGCTATATTTTTTTCCTGAAAATATTTTTGCCATAGTTGGGAAATATTAAAATGCTGTTTGGAGATTTGTTCGTAATACCTAAACACTCAAATTTAATGATACTAAAACAATTTTAATTTTTTTTCACTCAATTGTTTGTCGAATTTATTTAAATTTAAACATTTATCCCGACCAGGTGGGGTGAGCTTTTGTACATATTTTCAACTCCAATCAAAAAGGCGTTTACAGTACATTTCAGTGGTCATATTTTTAGGTAGTTTCAAACGACGCATTTACTGTGTTGGACCAATAATATAGTAATTAATACGGTCAGTGCTGCAGAAATTGTTTAGTAACAATAAGACACGATCAACAGCAAGTGCGGACCGTTTGTAGCCACCATCCCACCCTCAGGCAATAATTAACTTGCTCCGTCGTCGGTCGAGTATTAATATTATTAGCCTGCACCGCACAATCATTTCGAAACCTATGTCGACGTATAAATACGCCCACGTCCACGTGACTGACATCGAACAAACAAAATTAAACACAACGTGTCAGTCGTGTAGGTGTACTTACCTACATATTATATTTCAAAGGTTTGACGTAAGCGGCTTTTCATTCGTCGGAAAAATGTTTTTTAAGCACACGATGCGTCACACCCATAAAAACGTTTGGCCCGAAAAAGAACCACTCGTAGGTATAGGTAAATACGTACTATGAGGTCATAGAATATAGGTATAGGTAGATACATAGGAATACTATGAGGTCATAGAATAAACCAAATTTATGCGATACAAAAGACAATATTATAATATCTTATCATGCCATAGCGTTTTATTTTTTGAATATCAATAAATCGAAAACCCCCGGGATGTCCTTCTCCTGTATAATAGGTGTATATAAAGTATAGCACTTACTTCTCGTAATATTTAGTAGGTCGCACTGCAATGGATATTGTACTAAATTTGAACTAAACTATAAGCCAAAGCGAGTTTGGTAACAACATTTTTGTTTCATGTGGACTTTAAATTTAATTTTCACCTATCCACCAATATAAATTTTGTATTATTTATAAATTATAACCATGTCACTCTTGAAAAATGATGCCAAATTTACTAGATTCAAACTAAACATTTCCCTCGTTAGGACCCTATTTAACATTAAATTGAAATAATTTAAGTAGGTGCAAGTTTAAATTTATTTAAATTTTAATTCAATAATAATTAAGGTCGTAAACACAATTAACGATTCTGTGACAAAACTATCTGTGTCAGCTTATATTTCTAAGGATCTTTTATTATATATATATATATATATATTGATATTTTCAATTAGTAAAAAGGAAAATAGAATTCATTTTTGCAAAAATTAAGTTGCATATGACATATGTATTATATAAAAATATTATAATTATATTACTGTTAACATTTAATTCAATACGGACCAAGGGCGTCTCTGGCCCTGTTTTCAGGGGGGGGCGACTTTTACACAATTTAAAAAAAAAAAAAACAATAATAAAGGCATAATCAATTTATTAAATTCTAATTTATAAGTCAACATAGTAATTAGTAACTTATTGCTGGTCAAGTCATTTTGATCTGCAAATTTCATACATACAATTAATTATTTATAGGTAAAAAAAGATACGAATATGTAATCTTTAGTTAATAATCATAATAATAATAAAAATCTAATTATAATATTTTAATTAAGCACCAAGTAATTATTTATTTTTATTCTATAAAACAAATTCTTTAAAGCGTTTGTGTTCTGCAAACCGATCTATTATTTTCCATGCATCTAATTCTATATCGCGATGTACATGCAACAGTGCCAAACCAGTCAATCTTTCCTGTCCAATTTGACTTCTTAACCAAGTTTTTAATCTAATAAGCATTAAATCATAAAGCAAAAAAGCATAAGAAGCATAAATAAATAAATTAATCTATAATTATTTTTTATCAAACTTTATGTAAGTACCTGCGTAACGTCGAAAAACTCCTCTCTGCGGAAGCAACACTTACTGGCAAAGTAGCTAATATAATCAGTATTTTTCTGATCCCGGGAAATAGTATTTCATTACATTGCGTAATTGATTCTAATACGTTTTCAGGAATTGTTTTACCTATAATTTTATAAATTACTATTAGTATAAATATTTATACTAATATAAATAATAATAATATAAATATAAACTAAGACAAATATAAATCAAATACTTACATTCATTTTTACTTTCAATCCATTTGGTTTTCCATAGTTCTATTTCTCCTTGAAATTGTAAAATATTAATATCCAAGTATGCATAGTGATATGTTACAGCCTGAAGAAGTTCGTGTTTTTTGTCATTTGATATGTTTAAAACATTGGATGGTATAAGCAGCATCAATATAAATGTTCCTTTAGTTTTTGTATTAAGAAAACGTGACTGCAAGTCTTCTGAAATGTTTTCGAGTAATGGAATATATAAAACTCGACGATAATATTCTTCTGGTGATTGAGCAGGAGTATTAGATCTTTGTGTTTGGCGTTTGGCAATTCTTGGTAATTTTAAATCAATGTCCAATGTATTCATAACATTTTTACTTTGTTCAAATAATTGTGAAAAGTCTGATTCACAATTAGATCGTTTTCCAGAGAGGGTAAGTATAATACCATTGATTATATCAGATGCTTCTGCAATGTCTCTATCGTAACTTTGCAAAAGTCTACTGGCTGGTAGTGTAACACTTAAAACGTCTGTCAATGCAAATAAGGTAATAATAAAATCACAACAAGTTACAGCCATTAAAAGTGTTTTAGCTTTTGACGAAGAAATATGGTCAGTCCATTCAGATATGTCAGTTAAACTTTCTATAATTTCTGATAAACAAGACTGAAATTCAAAAATGCTAGTATGACGTTCAACCCACCTTGTTTCGCATAAACTAGTTATGGAACGTCTGCATCCTTTAAGATTGTTTTTCAAAACAAAATTTCGCTTTGATGATAATTTAAAAAATGATATTATTTCTTTTATAATACCCATTGTATTTCTTACAAGCTGTACGTCTGATGACTTTGAAATTGATAAATTTAATGCGTGGTTAGAACAGGGACTGTGTACAGCATTTACACAATATTTTTGGACCACGATGAACAGCACCACGAAGTTGAAAAATCATGACCGAACATCCGTCTGTTCCAATACCAACACAGTTTTCAAGATCCAGTGACATGCTTTTTAAAATAGATACTACAATATCTCCTAATTTTTCTCCAGTCAATTTGGGTTCGTTTACTTGAAGTTCTTCGTCAACATTTGCATTATCATAAGATTTATCATGACAATTCAAAAATCCGACAAATCGTTCAAAAACTTGATTTTTTTCATCGATATATCTTAAAATTAAGCTCATTTGAGAAATATGAGCTATGTCCGTGGTCTCATCAAATATAATACTATAATATCGACTTTTTTTTACGTCTTTTAAAATAATCGTTAGTATTTCTTCTTTGCAACATTTAATCAATTGATCTTGTGTGGTATGTGAGATATATGTTGCTTTTGAATGGGCTGTAAGCAAGTGATTTTTTAAGCAATCATCTCCAGATCCAATACGGAATCTCAAAAGTTCACGAAAGTTGCCTTCGTTAACTACAGAAGATGATATTTTAATTTCATTTAAATTATGTTTATCAGTTAAATTTCCTTGGTCGCGGTGTCCTCTAAACGCAATATTTTGGCGGCCCAAAAATATTATAGATTCAACAATTGGCTTTAACCGATTTCGGTTTTCAGTTACTTGTCTATAACGTTCGGTACTTAATAAATTATCTACTCGTTTGTTGGGACAGAGATGTGTTCGTACAAAATCTTCAGAACGTAAGATAGCATTTTTGTGATAATCATTGTTACTATGAGTTTCCAAATCACCATGTTTGCCTAGTAATTTAGCATATTTCTTTAAAGGAACTGTAACTAATTTTTTTAATTGTTCAGTATTTGGTTTTCCACCAGTATTTTGAACCAAGAACAATGTACAGTATAAACAAAAACAACCAGATAATGACTCCGAATAAACAAGCCATGGATATTGTTCAAAATGGTTATACCTCAAAAATCGTTTTTCTTCCTTTCCCTGTTTTTTATAAACTGAAAACGGATATTTAAAGCTAGGGGGTGGTTTTCACTTATTTTCTAAAAGTTTTATTTTAACAGTATATTCAATAACACGTGATGAATTAATATAAAGACCGATATCATTACTAATAACTAATGAGGAAATATCATTTTCTACCTCGATATTACAATTATTACTAGTAGTTACTTTATTATAAGTTGTTGTTGACGCTGGTATTACCTCGGATATTACAACTGCATCATCGACATCCGCAGTTACCACAGTAGAATTGGAACTATTGTTCTTTTTTTTATTACAAAACTCTAAGAGCGTAGACTGTTTTCGTTTATTCATTTTAAGAACGTTATATTATTGACATTCACAAAAAACTTATTAGCCTATATAATATTAACCAATAACTTAATTTTAATACACAACCGTCAACAGCGTCAGCCAGATGATAAACGAAAAATATAAACATTAAACTGTATGATAAATTGATAACCACTAATCACAATTACAATCACGATATTTCTAACCGTCATAGACCAGCTTATGCTAACCATAGACTTCTCACTGTCTAGTGCGATAAACAGTGTTGCAGTGTAACCATATTTTAAAATTTAAAATTCTTTAACTATATTCGGCGTACACTTGGTGTATCATAAGTCGTTATATTATTACGAAAATATTAAAATTTAAAATAATAAAAAGAAAAAAAAACAGAGGCTCAGGGGGGGGGGGGCGATCGCCCCATCGCCCCCCCCCCAAAAAAAAAAAAAAATACGCCCTTGATACGGACGTACTATGAAATGGTGAAAATACTAAACCGTTAAGTTCGTGGTATAAATAGACAAAAAATAATAAACATATTTTGATGACTATCTTAAAGAAATAGAACTATTTAATCGTGGTAAATAATCACTCATAAGGAACCTTGTATTTGTCATGCATTTCCATGAATTTTTACTCAAAAATAAAAATTGATTGGAAAAAATATCTATAAATAGCACAAAAGTTTAAAAACATTTTGAAAATTATAAAGAGTCTAGAAAATATTAATATAAATATATAATGTTCCCGATTATTTTAAAAAGTACTAGAAGTTTTTTTCTTTTTACCTTCCAGAGCACCAACTAGATCCAATTTTCAATTAAAAATCACAATTCTGGCACAAACCAGTTAACAAATTTATGTTCCTTTAATTTTAACTTTAAAACTACACTTTTTGCGTTTTCTTTTTTTAAGTTAACTTTTAATTTAACTTATTTTTATTAATTTTAACTTAGGTAATGAAAACTAGTTTCTTTCAATCAAGTCTAAGTTTTTAATTATTTATTTTAATTTAACCTAACTCTGTTAAAAAATATCATTAGCATAAGCTTTGCAAAAATCATTCTCGAAATTAAAGATAAAAAAAAATTAAGACAGAAAATAATATTATATAACTGTATAAATATGTGGTTTTTTAACTATGCCGGTGTGCCTAACTGTCTATTTATTTCTTAATTACACAATAATCAAGAATAATGATAATTTAGTCATAACTGACACAGGACCATTAATAACTTACTTTGAATTAGCATTTTAACATATTATTGAAGATTAAAATTATATTTTTCTCAATATTCATTTCAATTGCCTATATCAAACCCCTTAAAAATCCTTAAATTATGTAATCACTTGTCTCGACTTTTTCCTTTTGTCAAGTCGGTATCCAGATAGGCAGTAAAATCCTAATAGATTGTCTTACTATACCGAACCAAACAGGACCATAGTTTTTGCCGACAAGCTATGGTACGCTTTGTTGGTAAATGCAGTATCGGATTTATTGGGGGTGCAAAGAGTGGAAATGAGCGATGCACTGGGGCCCAATTCTAAACGTTATTTTAGAGGCCTCAGATTGATGTCCTAGATTTTCTAAATATGTAAGGAAATAAATTATTGAATACTTTTAAAGAAGAATTAAAAAACTTAAGAAATTACCCTCACCCCTTTATTTTAGACTGTTCTACACATTCAGTTTTTTTCCCAATACTTGTGACTTGATTTAACGAGGGAACACATAAGTCATAATGAGGTACCTGCCTAGTTGAAATGTTTTCTTTTTAAAATCATCAATAACGAAAAATATATGATTAATGCATCTTAATGTGTAATGGAATAAAATTAAAACATTTTTAAGTGGCTTCCAATATCAATAGTTGTACCTCGGCCGCCCAAGACTTAGGTATATCTGGCACTGAGTAAATGATACATACATTTGCGTTAATGACAAAGCTCTCAGAACGTAATTAATTCACCAAGAATGATGTCGTAACGTAAACTGATAAAAGTAAAAAAGTTTGAGTTTCCTCCGATTTAGGAATTTTGTCATATCATATAGTATTTAATAATGACGTAATGTTATTATCATCGTCATAGTCATCATTTTTATCTAGTCCATGACGTCAATATTTATGAGATTATCCTCGACGTAGACTTTTAACACAAATTCTATGTTCGTCTTAAATACTATAAGTCTATGAATTAATAATACTTCAAATTATGATATTTTATTTTATTATAATATTATGTACCTATAATTTATTAATCTGGAATAAATAAAAACACTAAAACTCTTATTTGTATAATAGATTAAATTCAGTTATGTAATTATGTAAAGAATAAGATTTTGTTTACTAATATATACATCAAAGAATATTCATAATTGCATACCTATAATAGGAGACTGTTTTTAATTTATATTTTTTTACTTATTACATCTATTTTTTCTTACATTAATAAGCTCAACAGTAAATAATGAACATTTATTTTGTAATTGGTACTAACATAGCTTAAAAATATTAAAAATGTATATAATTTTTATATTAATATTTAATAGATAAATTGTATTGCTTCTATTAAAAATTGATTTGATTAATTAATATAGTAAATGTCAATATTACTACCTACACAAATCGACCGTCACGATTGAAGTAAACATACATTGAAATTATTAACTAATAATAATTTATCATTGCAATTGAACCCAGGTGGATATTAAATCATTTGTTTGGATAGATGAAATATGTTCATAACGATACAAAATACACGAAAACAAATATTTCATCAAAGCAAACTTTCCAATAATCGTTTTTAATAGTAAATTATTATTATTTGACCTAAAACTCAATACCTACGTATTGTACTTGTAATCAATAATATTTTGATAACAAAATCAAAACTCAATTTAGTCGTTTTTAATCAACATTTTTTTTTCCACTAAATTATGCCTGGGATCACACTCAAGATTATCCAATTATGAACTCTGAGTAAAATCAGTGACGATGGACTAATTAGAGTTATTTTTTTACTATAAATCTATTAATTCTAAAATGAATAGTTATCCAACTCGTGTGATATTTTGAATCAAATACATAAAATTCACATTATTATAAAGTACAGGGACAACAATAAAGAATACAACGGATATGAACTGTTAATATTTTTAATAGGTAGGTACAATCAATTAATTTTATAAGCTATTTTTTCAGTGGCATTTATATACTTAGTGTAATAATTGTAAAGAAATTTGTTTTATATTATCATTTATTGTATTCTCGTAAATGATTGAAATTTAGTTTTGTTCTTAATGTAGAGATGCAGAATGTTGTAAAAATGTCTTTCTCAAATTTACGACGAGAATTTTTTCCAAATTCCTCCACTTGGTATAGATGAACAAGGGTACTCCGGTGTCGATTTGATATTAAAGTAGAGCAGATCCACAATCTGTTTTCAGACTGAGACTCGTATTTTCAATGCAAATAATAAAATATTATATACTATCTTATGATATGAGTGTATGACAAATAATATTCTGATAGAAATTAAATTTCTATTTTCTCACATATTATTTTTGAATTGTTCGTTCTATTTTTATCTCTTTGGTTGTATCATAGTCAATGTCAAATACAATACAAAAAACAACAACTTATAACAAATAGCATTTTCCATACACTGGTACTTTTCTCCAGAACTAAAAACAAACCATTTTTCTTTTTTAATATTTCAAAACTATTGACGTGATGAAATGTTTAAATTAATCGTCGTTAATCCATTTAAATTCCATCCATACTTATAATATTATCATAAAATAAGGAATAAATTGTTTTTCACCGACATTTTTATTATAATAATTCTTTTAAGCAATTAATACAAAAATTGTTGAATTGTTTCGTCAACAGTGATGTCCGCTTTCCTGAACGAGTAAGACATTATTCTGTAGGTACTTATAAGTACAATAGAATAATGCCTATAGACTTGCCAATATTATTATATCACAGCGTACGAAATGTCTGACCGCTCCTCTGCTTAGCCGATTATAAATAAATCGAAAAACATTTACGCAAATCCTCTGTGTGACTCAAATTGATTCCTTTGTTTTTGTTTTTGTTTTCGTGTAATACAATAATACATTCTTCGAAGAGGCTTTGACTCGCCCGCCTCAGCTTGCAATGTGGCGCGCTGACGATATTATTACATTATATACTTAGTTATATATACGTCCATATAATACTGTGTATATAAACTATACAATATATAAGTATATTATACCTGCAGACTTTAGATTTTATTTATTTGACGTCGATAACCAATAAACATGGCATGACTTCGTTAGCGAGTTTATACGCGCCAAAACGTTGGAGACGAGGCTTTATTTCGCTTTCCTTATATTTTTTGTCGTGTCCTTTTCTTTTCTCGCCGCACGGAACCAAACTATACCTTTTCGGTCGACGGTGCAGCGCACATTGTGTTTTGTCGTATTCGTCGAGCAGTTATGGCACAGTTCACAACGGCTGTGTTGACGCTGTGTTATAAAAAAAAAAAAGTCCAATTTGTTTTCCTTGTGCGACAGAGAGAAAATGGAAATGTCTAGTGTTTATACAGGCCTAACAATGGCGGTGTAATAATTTTCACCGCCACCGATTGGGTATATCATAAACCGTCATTGTTAGAGGGCCGTATTATATTGAGTGAATGTTTTTTTTCCTCTTCATAAAAAAACTTAGGTATTGGAACGCAATTTACACTGGTGGTCGATTTATTAAACTTTTTTAGTTTATTTTTTTATTTATTTATTTTTTTTATTTAGAATGCCTACGTCATAAAATAAGTAGATCAATTGTAATATAAAGTAAATGAAAATAATTAAGTGTGTGTGTTTTTGATCAACTATACCAATGACAATGTTATCTAATTTTTCACATTCAACCACAAAAAGGGTAATTCGTTATCTCATTAATTATTTATAATAATATGCTGTATTGAGTGTTCGAAAAGTGTGTTCCAACGTTTATAGCGATGCTATTGAATAATTAATATAAAAGAGACACTTGTCTGCCAAAATCAACATTTGCTTTTACTGACCAAAGTCCAAAACAAAAATAAACATAAATCACAATAACTACATGAAATACAAAATGTAATAATATAAAATTTATCAAGTGATAATACGCAGGTCACTAATTAACATGACGTTTTAAAATACATACCCTTCCATCATTTTCTTTCCAAAAAATTGAAAATAAATAAAAACTGATGAACCATGCGTGGATTTGTATGCAATCGCATATTTTTATTCTGCACTTTGGTAACTATGATATGATAAGTGTAAGTACACAATTCAATGGCATGTAGATCAAACTATGTAATTAGTTTAGCGCATATGTTTGCTTATTTCTAAGTAGTGATGTTTGAGGAACTTATTTTGACATCAATATATTTTGAATATTTCTTGTTTTAGTGAAAATTTAGTTATTTTTTAGACATTTTCGAAAAACTTAAAAATAATTGTAAAAAAAAAAATAGTATTTGAATTTTGATTTTATTTTTTATTTTTTTGATTATTACTGAAAAAATTGCTTATATAGAATATTAAACTAGGAACAGATTATCCTGATGTGCTCCCACAATTATGATATTATCTTTAATGGTTTTATTATATCGGTATTTACATATGATACTAGTATAAGAAAATATCGATTTAGATTTTATAAAAGTGTTTCCCAACCTCTTCTTCTTTGTAGATTTTAAAAAATCTCAAGTCCCCTCCATAGCTCCATGGATTGAAAAAATCTACAACGATTATGTACCCCGACGAACATTATGAGTGTTTAGCGGCTAAGAGCTCATAATCTTTATTGAAACCTGAAAACCGATCGTTCTTAATTTTTTATTTTTACCCTGCATTGTAAAATAAAAATAATTAAATAAATACAAATTTTACTTCACAGTGACTGCTTGCGCCTCCCTAGCAATGTGCACACGCCCCTCCCCAGGGTGGGGAACACTATTTTAGACCATTAGTATTATTTATTTAGTTATTTATGATTAGGATTTATGATATCATTTTTTCGAAATGCATATTTTTATTTTTTTGTACATATTTTAAGGTTTTAGTGGAAACATTTATTCATATTTAATCGTTTTTAGTGCATATTTGGATGGCTTTTAGTGCATATAAATCCGAGATCTATTAATAAAGATTAAAATATTGTGTAAATAGTAAATACCTACAGTATCTAATATATTATAATATACGGTATGGTCGTGTTGATCGATTCTTAAAATGTATTATGGAATAATGATTTAATAGCTATATATAATATAATATAATATATTATATATATATCATAACTACCTATGGTCTGTCTCACGAAAGAAACTTACCGTTTCGCGCATGTAGACTGATTCGATTGGTGAGTGGATAACACTCAGTGATCATGCTTACAACGAAAAGTTGGGGGGGGGGGGATGCGCGGCGGCGAACGAGTTTTGGTCGGCGCCGGTCCCATTCTCTCGTGAGACAGACTATATATAGTGCGTTTCATTAGAACTGCGACTCGACGCTAACGCGCCTAGTGGTGTTTTTTTCATTAGGGTTTCTAAAACTAGCACGTAATAATGGGCTCAAATTTAAAACTGATAACGAATATTTTACACATTTTTCGATCCTAGTTTGATAACCCCTGCAGGTTTGAGACAAAACCTCGACGAAGAGCGTTAGCGTCGATTCGCAGTGACTATGAAATGCACTATAGTTGATTTTGTTAGTTCATATCCTCACTAATATTTACCGATCGAAATAATCATACAAACAAATTATTACTTATTTTACATAGGTACGACCTATTAATTTTATTACGTTAATTATAACTTATGAAAATAATACTCAAACTTCAAAATCTTAAAATGTTAATTAAATATGATTATTATTCATACTTTTTAACTTGTATTTCAACTCTAACATAACGGTATCTCGAAGTTTTGTGCAATATTTACAGTATGTAATATTTACTAGGTATTTAGTGCGCATAATAATATAGTTATCATAGTAACAAATTGTTTTAATGTATATTTTTTATATACTCACAAAAATAAAATAATGTAATTATTGTTCGGGAAGGCATTAATATTATAGAAGAACCTGTGGCTTCTTTGCACGAGTGATCTAAACACAATATATGTACCTTTTAGAGAAACAACAATATTTCCGACATTTGGTATGAAACATTAATATTAATTTTAACAACAATGTTTGAATAAAATGTAATATTATTATTATAATAATATGTGCCATCGCGAAATCGTTTGGTTCGAGGTTTTAATTTTGTGTGTGTGTGCGCGTGCGCACGCGCTCATTATGTGCTGACTTCAGGCGATTGGCTGCCGAAGAGGACGACGAACTTTCAGAAGTCCAACCGGACGCTGTGCCACAAGAAGTCAGGGATTGGCTTGCATCTACGTTCACCAGACAGATGGCTTGCACAAGGCGCAAGGGTGAGGAAAAACCCAAGTTTAAGTCGGTCGCACACGCCATTCGCGCTGGAATATTCGTCGACCGCATGTATCGTCGTGTAATCAACGCTCCGATGATGACGTTCCCACCAGACGTCATCGAAGTATTGAAGGTAAACTCGCTGTGTTCATTTCCTATCGGTAAATAATTTCGTACCAAATAACTGTTGCCATGTTAAACATAATATAAACATAATATTATTAAACAGCAGATTCGACGATGAATGTCAACAACGGATTTTTTAAGTACCCGCGCTATTATTAATAGCTAATGTTATGACCAATATCATCTCTATTTTTCATAATATTAATTGAAAAATTAGTTTCATCTCAATTTAGCTCGGACCATTTACGGTTAATATCCGCATCTTCATTCGTTTGATCCGATTGAGCAGTCCACTATCATGATTATTTTAATTTGATTAATTTGGTTTTTATGGCATAAGTGTAGTACATAAAAAAGTAATTAAATTCACAACAATGGAAACTGATTACTGACCATGAGAATTACAATTTTATTTCTTATGTAAATTTATAATAATATACCAATATATTTTCGATACCTCTATTTGATTACTTGGGATATACAGACTATAAATCTAACATGAGTATAAAGCACATAATTATATTTCAATTCAACTCCGCCAGTATCTCGAGTTTGAAATAAAAATAAAAATGTGTTTATTGTTTAATGAATATTTTAATATGCTATTTAATGTTTACCAAACATTGTAAAAGTTCGTCAATTAATCCACAGCAATTCGTTATTTTAGGACATAAATGATTGGTCTTTTGACGTATACAAACTGAACAATTACGGAAATGGACAACCGCTGAAATACTTGGGATATGACTTGCTCAATCGTTATGGAATATTCCAAAAATTTAAAGTAAGTTTATTATTTATTATACTATATTCAATTATTATAGGTATTTCATTTTAGAATACGTTTTTAACTGTAAAATTTCATTGCAGATACTAAAACTAATATAAACTTAATTAGGGCATGTTAAATTTGAAAAATGTTGTTTACGTGTACAGTGTATGACCTACACTTCACCCAGGTTTTACTCATAAACCCCAAACACCTGTTGAGAAAAATGCGTAACCCCCACTCAGCTACTCACCTAAAATAAATCCTATTTTGCCACTGTTTAAAATAACTGTTACCCACACATTTCATTTTATTTTTTGTTTTTCAGTGTATAGGTTAACATAACCTACATAATGAAATATGAGAAAATATATTTTATAATACTTTATGAGACATACATTAATTTATTGAGTCTATACGACGCATACCTACTAAATTTTCGATGTGATTTTCGTTAAATTATATACAATTTAAACATAAAATTAAATTCTATTCAAAACATAATTGTATATCTGTACTTTCAAACTGCATGTTTACTATTATAACTTAAATTATTATTATTAATTTAAATCTATTTTAATTAGTTTAATTGAATCATAGTAATCTATAATATTCAGGGCTTGCAAACGTTATAGTAACGTTATGATTATAACGTTATATTTAACAAAAGACAATAGAAATTTGTAAAGTATAATTATAAAGAAACAGCGATAATCAATAATAATTAAATACCGCAAAACAAAACATAACGATTAACAAAATATATTTTATATCATTAAAAAAAACATAACGCAAAACGTAATTTATAGAATATCATTAAACGAAAAATAATGCAAAACTAAATATTTTAAAATCTATTTATTTAAAAGGTCTTATGCAAACAATCTAATGCAAATAATTATAATATCGAGTCAAACAAAATAGATTTGATTTAAAAAAATGTTTAATTGATCTATCAAAGTCCAATATTAAGTCAATTGTCATACATTTAAGACTCAAAGCATCATATTAATACGAGGGCTTGCAAACGTTATATTTTTACATTTAATAGGTATTAAAACTATTTTAAATAACGAAAAACGTAAAACTTGTATAACGTTTTAGTTCTAAATAATGATAAACTCAAAACTTGGAAAAAGTTTTAATCCTAAATAACTACAAACGTTTTAATTGTAAATAATATAGAACCGAATTTTTTTTCAAATGCAAGCCCTGGTAACAGTAGCGTATCTAGGATTTTTTCAAGGGGGGGGATATAAAAATTTTGTAATGTGTAAAAATAATAATAATAATTAGTAGGTATCATAATCTAGTATAGTTTAATTTCTAAAATCTAAAACTACCTAATACAAACTCTAAAAACAACAACCGATTGGAACTTTTATTAATTATCATTGATCACGGACTTCAGTTAACTTACAACAGTCGTGTATGATTCAACTATTCTGGGTATTGTGTTAATATTTAAGTTGAGTACCTTATTCTACCTAAATTAAAATGTATTTTTTTTCGTGACGCGTGTTTACATTAATCTTTTAATTTGATCAAAATATGACTGGGTTGACAAAAAATAAATGGGTTGTGTGGCTAAAAATATTAAATTAACGCAAACTGCTCAAGAATCGAAAATAATTTCCAGTATGTTTAATAAACAGATAAAACTTGAGGTGATAACTAAGCAATAAAAAAAAATATATTTTTATTTAAGATAATATTAATTTGTAAATATATTGTATACCAATATAAGAGTAATAGAGTATGGACAATAAGTGAGGAATCAGGTAAAATTGATTTATAGATAATGCAGTTGATATATTTTCAAAAAAAAGAAGATATCCTAATAAACTACTAATATTTTCGTTTATCAATATAAATATAGCCGTATAATAGTTTGCAGACATTTAACTGATATATGTATACAATTGTTTTTTTTTAAATGTCTGCTACCTTATATTTAAAAATTATGTTACCTAGTTAATAAAAATGGTACCATAAACAAATTTAAGCAGATAATATGTAGTTGTGAGCAGTTTTTTTTACCCATTCATCGGGCTGGTCAAAACCTTTGCCCCCTCTATTGAAAAACGAAATGATGCCACTGGTTGTATGATATTATTGAATTTAATACCATTCATTTTCGTTCATAGGTTAGGTTTTAGGTGAGCTGTTCAATCTTCATACAACTATCAAATAATTGTTTTAATAAAATTAAAAAAATTAAAATAACCTTCCCGGGGGGGGATATGACCCCCATATCCCCCCCCGTAGATACGCCACTGCCTGGTAATATTACTATATTATAACATTGGTTTTAATGCAAGTTCCCTATTTCGTTTCACATTTTGCATCACATCTACACGTATATTGAACTAAAAAAAACTGATGAGTTCCAAGTGTTTGGGCTAATATATAGCAGATTTTAAAGTTAAATTCTAAGAACATACTTATGCATACATACCATAATCTGTGAACGAGAGTAGTAGAGTTGTGTTACACTCTTTTAAGCTGTAATATAATATGTATACAAACATTAAAAACAATAAACGAAATAAAAATTATATTATTTAAATTAATCACACCATCAGTCAAGTATAGGTATCAACTAAAATTTAACATTTACAATTTGTACAAAAAAGATAATACTTATTAGATACGACTATCATATAGTTTTAAAATAATAGCACACAATAAATTAACAATTATTGTGATACATAGACAATTTTATATTATATTTTATTGGCCGTCACTGACCAGAACAACGTCATTCTTATCTGATATATTTTGTTTGTCATAAGTTGACAATAATATTGCACAACACATTTACGGCGTAAACTGTAAACCATGGGAATAATGTTCATATATATTAAAGTTTTTTTTTATTTATTTGAAAATATGTGGTCTTTGAATAATTGTTTATAAGAAAAAATATAATTTTTTATAGGTACACGCCTATTTTTCAGTAGGTACCTATACTACTTCCCTCGATTATTTTTTTTTACTCATATTTTTTTCTAGTACTTTATTTCCAAGCACTTTATATTGGATAATATTTTTACCAATTCTTTTTACGGGTAGTTTTTCCGAGTACCCACTGTAAATCACCAGTATCATTATCAAAAATATTTCGCTACTCTCGAAAAGTAGTATACAGGACATTATTAAACTCAACAATTGGAACGCTGTCATAAAATATAATATAGCATTAAAAAAAGTTTAAATTGAGCAAAAAGTTTGGTTTATCTAATATCATACTAAAATATCTTTGATGTTTAGAATTTTTATGAAGACATCTTATTAAAAATATTGTACTTTTTACATTTTTAAGCAAATTTTAGATGGTATGAATGTGTAATAGTTTTGATGATTTACAGGTTTTTGTGATTTTATTGATGAATTTCGTGAAAATTTTAATTTTAGGCTATTATAAAAAGACGATGAATGCCTACTGTAATTTATTTTTGAATTACAATAAAATAATGAAATCGATTTGATCAAAAACTGGTTTCTGGTTTTTCAAAATTTTTTCAGTTTTCCACATTTATTTGAAAATTACTACATATAAGTAAAATTGTTATACTTTTGATTTCATAATGTACCTACCAACTATAAATACAATTACCTATCAAAATCTATCCTCGAAATTATAGATTGAACCATTTTTACTGCTTCAATCCCTTATGACAGATATAAGAACATATTATCATTGTAAAACTAATATAAAATGCAACGCTAATAGAATATTTTATAAATGTATGGTGAGTAATGACTAAAGCTTAGTTAAAATGAAATCAAATACGCCAAATTGTAATTAATACCCTTAAAACATCATAGATAAATGGTTTAACAACATATTCAATTACAATTATTAAAAAGTTTAATTATAATGTCATGTCTACATTATATTGATTGCAATAAGTTCCTACCAACCAAAATAATTAATATTTTTTGTTAATGCATAGTAGAATATTGTTAGTACTTATAAGTTACACTTAATACTGTTTATAATTATATATAATTTTGAAAACAAAATAAATAATAAAAAAAACATAATTTCAACAGTTATAGGAAGAAACACATTTTAAAAACGAATTTAAACATTTCATTGATATTTAATTTATGTGATTTACAGGTGCCATCTGTAGTAATGGAGAACTTTTTGTGCAGAATTGAAGAAGGATATTCAAGACATAAGAATCCGTACCATAATAATTTACACGGTGCTGATGTAGCACAAACTGTCCATTATATGCTTTGTCAAACTGGACTTATGGTAATATTATAAATGTGACAACACATTAGATTATGCTTATTGTATAGTATTACCTATGAATAATATAAATGAAGGCTCGAAGGGACTTAGTGTCTCAAATATCACAAAAACCCACCAGTGCAAGCAATTTTTAATTTTAGAATACATCTTGCATTTTTACATAACTAATATTTTTTTCTTCTACAGAATTTACTTCTCTGTTTCCTAAATATTTCTCCTTTTTTACTTAATCCGAATTTTTATTTTTTGTGTTTTTTATTATTTTCTTACTGAATAAAATATTATATTTCATTTTTATTTCTACTTATATCAATGTCATCACAACAATTTAATGTTACAAGAAGTACCTACACTTGTTAACTACCAATATTATCTAGTAGGTATCATAGTTTATCAAAAGTATTTTTTTTCTTTCGTTTTACTTAAAATAAATTAACGTTATATCTGTGTCCTATGACAAAAGTTTTTTTCGTAAATTTAAATAAAAATAAAAGTTTAGATTTTTTATAGTTCACTTGTATAACTAGATATTAGTAAGGTGAAATGACTTTCCTTCATTCTCCAATAGAAAATCAATTTTTGTAATTGTTAATGATATTACCTATGGCAATTTAACACTTCGTGTTTTTGTTGTAGAATTGGCTTAGCGATTTGGAAATATTCGCAATGTTGATTGCGGCAATTACACATGACTTTGAACACACTGGAACAACAAATAACTTCCATGTGATGTCAGGCACAGAGATTGCCCTATTGTATAATGACCGCGCTGTGTTGGAAAACTATCATATCAGTTCCACGTTCAGGTTAGCCGTGTGAAAATAATTACACTAAATTATAAAAATAAATGTACTCAAATAGATTTGTATGTAATTTCATTATTATTTTGATGATTAAATGAAAAAAGATTAATATCAATGGTTTTACTGACTGTTCAAATAACTCGATAATTAAAAAATTTAATTATAAAACCAGCGAATTTAAAATTACATTTCTATTTTTTTTCAATTTGGAAATATTTGTAGTACCTAAATTAATAATGTATTCAAACTATTAAATAAATTAAAGTATTAAATTACATAGGAATGTTTTTTTTTGTTTTTAACAATAATTTATTTTATAGAATATTAAAAGATGAGGACTGTAACATTTTGCAAAATCTTACTAAAGAAGAATTTCGTGAGTTCCGTACACTAGTCATAGATATGGTGTTAGCAACAGACATGAGCTTCCATTTTCAACAGTTGAAAACTATGAAGCAACTTTTGGCATCGCCCGAACCTACGTAAGTTCATACCTAATATCGTTTTCGATAAAATGGTTTTTCATAACACTATGAAACTTGAACTTATTTTATATAATTGTTATATTTATTTACATTTTGCTTTAATCAAAATATATATTAAGCATAATATTTCGTAAGACATAATAATGATATCCACTTTAGTAGTTGAGAACCAACGTATTAGTGAGTTGTACATGTTGTAATGCAATTTTTTTTTTTAATGATAATTTGACAGAATCGACAAGTCCAAAGCTATGTCAATGGTATTACATTGTGCTGATATATCGCATCCCGCCAAAGAATGGGATTTGCACTATAGATGGACAAGCCAATTGTTGGAGGAGTTCTTTTTGCAAGGTGATATGGAGAAAAAATTAGGACTCCCATTCAGTCCTCTGTGTGACAGAAACAACACACTAATTGCTGAGTCACAAATCGGTTGGTATTTTAATTCACTCAACTTAATATGAAAAATTGCTTATGATTAAATAATATTACAAAATATAACAACAATTCTTTATATTTATTTCTAGGGTTCATTGAGTTCATAGTTGAACCTAGTATGACCGTGTGTAGTGACATGTTGGAACTGATTTTGGGTCCAATCAAATTGATTAATGCATCCAAGACCGTTGATACAAATTTGGTGGTTGACGAAAATGACGAGAAAACAGACAATTCAAACCAATCTGACGTAGCTATCGCATGCACAGCAATGAGCTGCAGCATCGAAGATAGCAAAGATATTAAAGAAAACAAAGATATGAAAGGTAGTAAAGATGTAAAGGATACTAAAGAAACAGAAATTAATGAAAGTTCCAAAGATAAATATGACACGCCTTCTACAAGCAAGGACACAAAACATGAAGAAAAGTCTGACAAAGGTAATTATGTTGCAGACACTGAGGCAAATTTCACAATTTATTAAAATTGTCTTAAAAATAATATCTTACAGTTTTGGAACCTACCAGATTAATCCTTAGCCCGCTTACCTATCAAATTTGTTAAACAAAAATATTGGGTCACTGAAATTCTGTTTAAACTCAATCTACTTATAAAAATTCAAAATTTTTTTAAACACATATTTATGTTTTATTTAAATAAATAATTAACGAATATTTTACTTTATAATATAGAGTAGATATATTTACAATTACAACAAAATATTGTCGATGGATTTGTAGACTGTAATAAGTGCTATTGTTTTTTTTTTCAAATATTTCAATAGTTTGACTCACGTTTCTAATGACGTTTAATAATTACAACAACACTTTCAGTTGATAAGTACAGCTATTTAAAATGTTTTTAACACTCTTAATAGAAGATTAAATTTCAGAAAATATTCAATTTAACCAAGAAATCATTCTTTGCATCACTATAAGAATCTATTTTTTAATATTAACACATTCCATAAGACATAGCTGGTTATCCCTCTGTTTTACGGTAGATTACAGATGGGTCACTGTAATGAATGGTGTACAATTTAAATTCATCGATACCTATAAATATCATTGTGACATTGTATATTTGTATACGATAAATGACTCTTAGAGGAGACGCTCTATTAGTCAGCCTATATTATATTAATGTTTTTAAATTACAAAAAATAACTTATAGTATTACTTTTTGTTTAAATATCTAATTTCTTCAAAATTTGAATTTGAAATAGCCAAAAAAAATGTGTTTATTTACTATTTTAGATTTGTCGGTGGCAGTATAAACTACTTATGTGATACCTTGTTTTAAATTTGCAACCCTTAACTACAAAAACTGAAAATTTAATACATTTGTAACTACAAAATAATTTGCATTATTTGCAAACAATTTTTAAATTTCAAAATCTCATAAAAAAAATGTACCTTAATATTTTTAAGTGTCATTATAAAAAAGTATGATGAACCTTTAATTATATTTTCAATTATTTTGACGAAGCAAAGAAATGTTAATCGACAATAATTTAAAAAAAACTAATAAAAATCTATATTTTCTTATGCCTATAAATAACTCAGAAAGAGTCAAAATATTTTGAATAGTAAATAGAAAATGGTAGTATAAACTATAGGTTATAAGTTTTTTAGTTTAAAGTGTTTAAACAAAAACTAAATCGATCTTGTCTGTAACTGGTTTTGCGTAAAAATCCCCGTTTTTCCTAAATTTTTTTTAACACTTTTAAAATCCTCCTCTCAGAATCCAAATTTTTTTTCAACTAAATATTTCTTATTGAAATATATTATTTTCATTCAAATTATAAAAACTGTTTTCGATTTATGATAAACGAATACATACCTTTTTTTTCTGGTTAGAATTGTCTGCAGGGAGGGAAATATGGAATAACAAATACGTAGCTACATTAATTATACAGTTCCTAATCACAAAATTACAGAATATATGTTTGGAAACATATTTCTATAAGAAGAAACTATTAAGTATTAACTATACTGTATATAGTCTATACCAGGGGGCCTCCAATCTACGGCCGCGGGCCGAATCCGGCCCACCTAGGTCTTTGCACCAGCCCAAGCTAATTTATTAATGTTTTGAAAATAATATATTTAATATATTATTCTCACTGAGTTTTTATTGTTTTTAACTGACTGAATTAATTAAATTAAATATAGAAATTATTTTTTCTTTTGATGTTATTCATAACAGCTTATAATAGTCATGCATAAAAATGTTGGTCCGCGTATCTCAAATTTTTGTCACCGTAAAAAAAAGTCGGTGACCATTGGTCTATACTCATAAACTTCACATTTTTTTCAGAACCAAAAGAAGAAACAAACGCTGAAGACCCCAAATCTAGTAACAAGTTGTACAAAATAAAAAAGCCGTGGAACGATTGTTTGGTCATAAACAAAAAGAAGTGGAAGGTGCAAGCAGCTAGAGGTAATTATTGTATTGTATATGCATTTTGCACGTATTATATGCATGTGTTATTATGTCATGTAATATTATATCTATAATATAACTCTTTGCGTATTAATATATTAATGGTAAAGTGTGTGAATTTACAGAAGCAAAGCTTAGAGAGTCGAAGACGAAATATACAATGCGTGACATAAGAATGCCACTTCCCGGTGAAATTGTACAAGACGAAGACAAATCGTCTTCGACAGATGTGGAGATCGTTGAATAAACGTCTATGCTGCAGTTTGATTTTCAACCATAATATGACTTTTGACTTGTAATTAGTCTCTCTTTAAATAGTTTTTAAATATTAGCATCGTGTTGTAAATATTTATTAGAAGAACTCTTTTTAAATTTAAGACAATTTAAAATTATTTTAATTAAAATATAAGTCACTTTTAAATAAGTAGGTACATTAGAGACAGTTAATATGTTTAATATTATATTTGTGTGTGTGGGTGTGTTTGTAGGGGGGCGGGGTGTATTTGGGTGTATGTATATATTCATCTATATACGTTTAGTGTATGTATGCTTATATAATATAACTTATAGGTATATAATGAGTATATAATACATTAGGCAGGTTTATAGTGAGTGTGTATATAAAACATTAGGCGAATGTGAATGTGTATATAGGTAGTACATTAGGTTTATGTAAGTGTGTTTATAATATTATAATACTTATACAACATTTTTCACTAAATGGTGTCATAAACCATACCTGCTATAAGAATTTTGTTCAATTATTAATGTCATTGTTAATTTGTCCACTTTTAATTTTTCAACCACAACTATCGACTTTTTAAAATCAATTTACATCTTTAGAAATTATATTCTACTAAGGAATGAACAAATATTTCTTTACCTATCTATAATGCCTTTATTATCTATGATGATCATATTATTTCTGAAAAAAAATTAATTTGTTTCTAAATCTAAATTATATAATATTGTATAGAATAAAATTGATATTGACTCTTTAAGAAATTGTAAAAATGTTAGTTAAATTTAAGTTGTTGATAATAGTTAGTGAGCTTAAATCGCTGCATTTTATTTCTTATTGATATAAGTTGATACAATAATACTACATTATGTTTATGGCATACGTAGAACAACAATATTGTTCGAAATAAGCTGATATCTATCTATATATTATTCTGCTTTGCTCAATTAAATATTGAAAAACTACCTATTCAAATTGTGTGTTCACAACAAAGTATAAATTACAATTTAGGAGGTTAGTGCATTCCAGTTTTCATTATAACGGTTAAATTATTATTTTCCTTTACCATAAAGTTTATTATAGACATTTTCGTGCATTTTTCCCACATATCGTTTTACAGTAAATTACTTCTCCAAGATTTAAAGATTCCAACCTATTCCGACATGTTGTTTGTTTATCGAATCGTCGACTTTATTCGAACTAAATCAGCTGTTTATATTTATATATTATATGGATTATTTATAAGCTACGAGATTATAAAAATTGGTTTAAACGGAATGATAATCGTTTGCCATAAAAAAAAATTTAAAAATTTAAAAAACTTTTAAAAAAATGTATATAATGAATCATACTTCTTGTTGTGCAATGTACATTTACTATGAAAATAATTATTAAAAATTTGTTTGTTCGATGGAAGCTGATTGAAGTTTAACATTTCTATTTTCTGCTGTACATATTATAATGTTACCTATAGGTCATATCATAATATGATACTTGCAGGTAATAATTGTAGGTACTTCGGTATCGGATAGGACGCCGTGGCGAGCAAAGGGAGCATTTGTAATAACTACTTACTACAAAAACATCTGTAGGTAATAAAGATTTTAGCAGGACTAGAAAAATGAATCTGTCACTGGCTTAGCTAAGTAGATATGTAATCATCAGGGCTGAATGCATTTCAAATATATATTATAACATCAAATCACGAGTTTCGTCGAGTAAGGTACTCTATTACTATGATGTAGGTACATACTCAGATAAAAAACAATTAGGATATCATCGAATATCGAGTTGATTTAATTGAAACGAAATAGATTAGTATATTATATTACATTATAATATTATTATACATTATACAATGTAAAATAATAGGTATGAGGTTATATAGTATATTACATTTCCTTAGTATCTAACCTTATACGATTTTGATTTTCATAGGAAGGGGGAAGTTCCAAATCAATAAGTCACAGATTGGCGAGTGGCTTATAATCATTTTAAAATATTTTAAATTACCTATCACCGAGTAGGTATATTTAAACATCTGTGAAATAATATGATATTTTTAACGAACATATTAATTGCTTGAGTTATACCTATTATCTTTTTTTTTTTTTTGGAGTGAAGGGGGTTTTAACTGATTGCGCCTAAGATTCCTGGTATGATTTAATTTTCACTTATTACATTTTTTTTTTAAACAATTTAATTCAAATTCAAAAACAAAATTTAAAAATTAAAAAAAATATATTAGTTTTAGTTGTTTTATTCAGTAGGTATAGTCATAATCTATTAAGTGTTTATTTGAAGATTTATTATTATATTAGTGATTAGTCCCTAAAATATAAATTATCCATTTGTTTCTTTGCTTGTAATGACCCAGAAAAAACTTCATGTTTTTGTCGGTGTCTTATAAAATGTAATGTCAGTTAAAGGAATGAATCCTAAAAAATAATTCATTAGAATTTTAATTGACTTAATTATATAAATACATAGGTTTTAATAATGTGTTTTTATCTTTAAAATATCAAAACTGTGTGGATTTATTCATACTATACTTATTAAACATAGGTGTAAGCACCTTTCATCGTTGATTTGATACAATGGCGCACAAACTATACTTTTAAGTGTCCGAAATACTGACTTTTATTTTTAAACTGATTAATTGGTGGTTAATTGTGTGTTTTATAAAGAGCAATATGTAATAACAAGAAAATATGAAGAAATAAATAAATGTAATGAATTTAAAATGTTCGGTGAGATGGTTGCGGTTTGATTTGAGGCAAGCTTTAAAAGGACAATGTGCGTCACAAATGTTGAATAAAAATTTAAAATTGAATAATTATAAACTTTATATTGATGTTTTTTTCCAACTATCTTGATGTTCTCTCAAATATGATATAGGAACTTTTTGTTTAATATAATATTAATTGTTTAATGTAATGTGTTAAAAATATATAATAAATATTTTAAATACATAAGGAGACGGGAAGTATTGAGTAGTAACACATAGAAAATAAATTTCTTTATATGTTATTATATAATATTATGTAACATGCGTTTAAAACAATGATCTTAGATCCGACCAAACAAAACTATTCACCCGTCCATTAATATTGATTATTGTACAAGCAAACACCATTTATATTGTAATTAATTATTAATGATCAAAATATTATATAATATCTATATGATAACTTTTAATCATATAATAAAAATACAGTGCCAAATTTGAATAAATTAAGTGGTAACATTCAGTTTTACGCATTAATATTTAATACAATATTATACATTATAGATAATAAGTGGTTCAGAAATCTATTAAGCACCGTTGTAACAATATCATACACCACAGGTGGTGTTTCCATAGTTATTGCTATTTTCAATAAACGAATAAGTAATTTTTTTCCCCAATTAATGACATTTTCCAGTTGACCGCCACTTAACTACGACCTAATGGCGGTATACAGAGACACTGTTTGTATAATATTACCTCTCGTCTAGGTATTATATAAATCATAAAAAAAAAAATCTATTAAAAGTAAAATCAAATACCACTATAATTATTATAAGTAATAGGTACATCCTATTATGTTTGTATTAAACCCGAGTAAGAGAAATCTGAAATATATTTTCTTCCTATACAATATTGTTCGCATCCAGATATTATTCTGTTGACATAGTTCTGGACCATTCTGTACCTATAATAGGCAGGTACATCAGAATAAGACATGGTCGTATATAATAATATTTTACAACCTATATTTATCGATTTTAGATGTTTTAGATTTTTGTTGTTGGTTATAACATGTTAATTTGTACTTTTAAGACTATCTGTATGTTTTTATTTGTACATAATTTTCAAATAATACTTCTTATTTATAAATTATATAATATTTTAATAAATATAAAAATATTTAAGTACTATATATTATTAAATGTAATCAATTGTTATTAAAAACATTGATAGTAAACACATATATATTTATAAAAATATAATTATGACTATATGATTACAATTTGAATTGTTATATGTTTTTATTATTAATGCTTGAATAACGATTGGATTTATTTAACGATTTTTATTGGCGATTGAATATTCCCGCAAAATGATATGAAAATGTTCACTGATATTTTTACATTCATATCTACAGGGTGTTTAAACAAATAAAAAACCAAAAGAACCATTTTTCGTGAGAATTCGAAAAATGAACAAGACTTATATCGCGACGTTTAGCATCTTTTATTTTGTTATGAACATAATATCTTTGATGAATTCGTATGTTTAGTTTTTCTTTTAAGATTATAATAATATATATTCATACTATACAACATCGAATTAATGTGAATTTTTTTTCTCAATATTAATATCGATCGTCTGAAAATTTCGATATACTTTATGTTATACGTTATTACGATACCTATATTCGTCGGTGTATCGATATATATTCATAGACCGTTTTAATAATAGGTATACCATAAACTATAATAAGACGATAATATTTAATTAACAATATTATAATTAGGTACCTACATATTATATAATATGCATGATAGGTAATTACTAATTACAGTTATGGTTATCTTAATACTATATAATTTGAACGTTCAAACCTTGTCATTATTACTTGCCGTTAATACCGTGCACCCTGTATATGTGAAATGAACAGTTTAAAATGCCCAATCACATAAAAAAAATTTAAAAAAAATTAAAACCGTTATTACGATTTATCATTGGGTAAATTATTTCAAATCCATAAAATTATTTATTAGTGTTTAGAATAGATATAATGTGATGTATTAGTATGTGTATTGATAGTGATGCTTACGATTAAGTTTTTGTTTAAGTGTATTATGTATACCTACCTATATCATATTATTACCTACTTATTTCACAAACTACAGTACTTATATTATATTACGTTTCTTTAATTTTATGTTTATTTTTGTTTTGCCTGATAATAAATGTGAACGGAAAAAAAATTTGTTTTTGTGTAAAATAATCATTATAC